ATTTCAGTCTATGCTCCATCTCAAATTACTGGATTCCTTTTTTAATTCTAATAGCTTATTTACAGATTATTTTGGATTTTCTATGTACACAATCAGATTGTGAACAATCACAGTTTTTTCTTTCCCCTCAGTCCTTGTACTTTTTGTTTTCTTGCTTTATCACACCGGTTGGGTGTTCCAGTGCAATGTTGGACAGAGTAACAACGTTTGAAAATTTTAATCTTCTTTTCTTAGTGTCTGATAGAAAATGGAGACAATAAAAATTAGTAACAAATGTGACCTAATTGACATGTGTAGAACCATACATCAACAGGTGCATAATACACTCTTTTCAAGTACTCATAGAACATTTATGAAAACACTGATGTATCTGAAGAACACTAGAATAAACTAGACGGGACTGGAGGCTTCAGTCAGAGCTCTTTCTGCCCCAACCTCGTGCCCCACCCTCTTCGGCATCGCCCCGGTGTCCCACCCCTTTGCCCTTCCTGGTGGCCCTGTGTGTAGAGGTCAGTGCATCCAGTGTGGAAATGGGAAGCTCCCCGAGTTTTGATGGTGCTACGGTCCTGTCCCCGGGGTCCACAATAACGTGATTTCTAGGTGGAAAACGGTGCCACCATAGCAGCCTCTTGTACTTCCTTATGTTTTAAAAACAGGGGAGCCATCTATCAGAGAGTGAATCAATATGTTTGTTTGCTCCTGAAAAGAAAAAAAAGAAAAAAGAAGAAGATGGACCCAAATTACTTTACGGCTTAGCGAACGTCTACTCCTGCTGGATGGCACACGGGTCCTTTGTATGGTTCTCTCTCCTAAATTTCTTGTCTATGATGTAGCTACTATTAGTCACACTTTCTAGATGGTTACACAGAAGCTCAGGGACTTGTGTGAGTCACACAGGATTTTATTAGTGTTAGAAACCACAATAGGATCTGCAAATCGACTCGACTGTTGAACCCATACACGCTGGTGCCATTTCCCTCTTGTTTGTGTTCTGCTCGACCAGAAACACGAGCATCCGGGTCTTTGTGGTGACCTAGACCTGACTTACTCGGTCTTTCTACCTCTATCCACCGTGACTATTAAAACTGGGCAGGAGACTTGAATAAGCTGTTGGAAGCCCCTAGCAGCAGAGATTGTTAAAGTCACCGAGAGGAAGCATCCTCTTCAGCTGGTTCAGGCTGTAGTATCTTCACAGTGTGCTCTGAGGTGGGTCTGAAATAGCATTTAAAGATGGCTCAGCCCATCTCCATAAAATTAGCAAATGCTGATAATAAATTTGCTAAAATATTACCTTACCTGCTACTGTCCATTTCCCAGGCATTTTCGTCTTTGTATGTTAGCTGTGATTTACATCAGCCACCATCTGCAGGGCAGAACTTCTACAGAGGGTGGGGGCTTTGAGGACACTTAATGTTTAAATTAGCTTTGTGGCATTTAGCCCTGTTGTCTTCCTTCTGCAAGCCTAGTGCACGGCCCCCGACAGCTTTAAGACGTCTGGCGTTTTAAAATGCTGACTTTAAATTACTTCTATGATTGAGAGGTTTGGCAGGAGATGGGAGAGGAGCCTAGGGTGTGACTCGTCTGTTTACCCTGTCGACCAGGTAACAGATAATATTCTTCAGCTGTTATTTTGGTTTGTATCCTTGTTAAAGTTGCTTTATCTCACGTTTTGTCATATAGCAGAACTTACAACAATAATATGCTTCCTTTTTTAAGATTATAAAGCAGAGAAATGCTCCTGGCAAACCACTCCAAGAGCACAGAAGGGAATTCTCGCTCATCTTAGGTGCTCCTGGGAGGAACCAAATACTCGGGTAGGTTTTAACCTCAGATGGGTTCACAGCACAGCAACGCTTTCCAGGCCTAATAAGCACTATGCCTTCAAGGGCGGAGCCAAGGGTCGCGCTCTCCTCCAACAGCATGACGCTCTTAGAAGGTGTGGAATTCTAGAATCCACGCTCACCTGAAAGATACCGGGGAAAATGGGCGCTTTCCAGCAACAGGCAAGCTTTACAAGTGCCTCGGTAATGTGTGAAATCATTGCACTTCCAAACTCCCAAGAGTTGGCGGGTCTGAGCGCAGCTGACCTTCGGAGGAGCCAGGAACGCCCTGCAGGCAGGGCCGGCTTGCGAAGGGAAGGGGTGGATGCTGTGGGGACCCGGATAGGGGTTGGGGGACGCTGGGAGGTGGCCTGCCCGGCGGCCCCTGTCCACGCGTGAACAGCCCG